CAACTTACAAAGTTTTTTACAATGTCTTATCATTATATCACATATAATTATCTCACATTTTTGGCTTGCTCTTAACACACCCCTCGTCTACTTCTAATTATCACCAATCTTAAAAATTATACTATCCAAAAATTATAACTACCCAGATCTCACTCGAGTTCGTCTTCGCCTTCCCTCCCATCCTCCTCTACCCTTCTCCTTTTACACAGCTCCTCTACTTCCCTGAAAAATTCACACATCCCAACCTGAATCTTACCGCCTAACATGTTTATTAATTCCCCTCTTATAGCACCTTCCTTTACTCCAACCATCCACTCCTCTACTTCCTTCCTTCCGTTCTTGGAAACCAATTCCCTTCCTCTATCACAGATTATCAGATGCTCCAACGTCTCTACCTGCTCTCTGCATAACCTACATTTCCAGTCCTTTTCTCCTTTCTTTCCTGCCTTTCCTAAGTTGCCACATCTTACCTTACATCACTCCTTCTTTTGACCAATACTTCCATGGCATTTCATCGTTTTCTATTAAATGCTTGTACATACTATTATATGTTGACTTTCTTATTTTTTCCTCTTCTTCCCTTAGGCTTCTCCCTTTTAATTCTTCAAGTCCCTTTTTTATCTTCTCTCCTATCCTCCCACYATCTCTTCTTTCCCTTATCATCTCTATCAAGTCCTCTATACCCATTTCCCTCAACACACTGACCAAATTCTCCCCCCATTTTGAKGGATTCCCGTTCGTTATGGCTCTTATTTCCTCCATCACACATATTTTTGGCCACCTTGAATCCTCCATTTCCAGCACCTCCTTGATATAACGCAGCGCTCTTTCCCTTATCATGAATTCCATAGTTGGGATTCCCAGCTCTCTTCTCCATATATACTTTAGCGTTGTCCTGTTCACTCCTAATGCCATTTTACAGTATCTGCTCTGTATCCTTTCGAACATCTTTATATCTCCCAACCCCCATATTTCTACTCCATACATAACCCCCGCTTTCACAATTGAATCCAAAAGGAATAGCCTATCCTCCATAATATTTCTCCCTGCCCTTTTCCAAATTCCCCATACCATATTCACCGCCTTCTGCGCTTTCCCAGCTATTTTCCTTCCATGCACCTAAACCGAATTCCTATTTGTAAACCAATATCCCAGGTATATAAATTCCCTTACTACCTCCACTTTTGTCTTATTGATCTCCCATTCCTCCCCTTTCTTAACCTTACCTCCGTTTCTGAAAATTATGATCTTTGTTTTCTTCTCGTTTACTCTCATCTTGTTTTCCTGTGCCCATTTTTCCAAATCCTTTAGTATACTTCTCAACCCTTCCGCAGTCTCCGTCAACGCCGCAACGTCATCTGCATACTTTATTGCAAATATTTTTTGCCTTCCTATTACTGCTCCCCCTTCATTCTTCGCCATCCATCTCTCTTCCAGATCATCTATATACAAGTCGAACAAGACTGCGCTTAGCGCGCAACCTTGCCGCACTCCCTGTTCTGTTCTRAAGCTTTCCGTAATTTTCCCCTGAGTCTGTACTTCCGCTCTCGTTTCCCTATAAATCTCTTTTATTGTCTCTATCATTCTACCTTCTATCCCTTTATCCTTCAACTTCACTATCATCTTTTCCCTGTTTACCCTATCAAATGCTGCTTTGAAGTCAAT